TTTTTTTTTTTTTTTTTTTTTTTTTTTTTTTTTTTTTTGGAATTTTGTTGGATGCGCTTGCTGTTAAAGATTTCCAATTATTAATATTATAAATATATTTATTACTAAATCTATTGATTGGTATTTTTTAATTTAAAATAAAAGAAAAAATATACGTAGTTTATTCGAGGGGCTTCCACCTTATACATGAAAAATTGGGTTGCCTGAATCACGAGTCACTAGAGCATAATGTAAGCAAGCCCTAAAGTAAAGAAAGATAGTTCGAAAGGGCGGGATAAGACAAGGTAATAAGGCTGAAGGTAAAGAAGTTTCGTTCGACCGTCGATGAGGAGGAGTCAGCTAGCGATGTTAGCTCTTATGTATGAATGAATATTGATGAGGTTGGAGCAGCCGAGATTGAATTGAATGGGAAAGGATCATATGATATAAATAATAAAAAATAATGAAAGTGGAAAATAAATAGAGTTTATTATAATAAATAATTATATAGATATATATATATATAAAAATAATTGAATGGAGTGATGAAGTCTAAGCTCATTCAAAGACAGGCAGTTTTGATTGCTGGGACATACCCACATGTCACTACAGCAACCCTAAATTCAGCTAACCCTAAAATAGAACAAATATTTTAGAGACAAGTTTTATAAGAAATGTTTTATTCTCCTTTTTTAATCACGTGAGATCTCACTTTTTTTATATGAAGCAGGATTTTATAGTCCACTGATGTAAGATTTTACAATCCACCACTTTGAGGCCTAGCGTCTTCATTGCAGCCTATTAATATAGGATCTCACAATCTACTCTCCTTGAGGCCGAGCGGCTTCGATGCTGGCTATCGATGTGGGATCTCACAATTCATCCTCTAGAGAGCCATTGTCTTCTTTGGCACACTGTCAATTGATGTGAGATCTCAGAATCCACCCTTCCTAGAGACCTATCGTATTCATTGGCACACTGCCCATTGATGTGGGATCTTAGAATCCATCTTCCCTAGAGACCTATCGTATTCATTGGCACACTGCCCATTGATGTGGAATCTTAGAATCCATCTTCCCTAGAGACCCATCGTATTCGTTAGCATACTGCCCATTGATGTGGGATCTCACAATCCATCTCCTAAAGACCCATCGTCTTTGTTGGCACACTGTCTACGGACGTGGGATCTCACAATTCTTTCCATTGGCACATTATAGATGTCGAGTTGGGGAAAAGAAAAGAGAAAAATGGAAGAATGGAGAAATGTAAGGGTAATGAGGAGTGAAGGAAGGGAGAGGGAGAGAGAGTGATAGAGATTGAAGAACAATCAAAGAGCAAAGCAAAGTTGGTATGTGATATTTGTTGTCCTCATTAGGGAAATTTCACTATCTAAGCTTTTTTTTTTCTTTTTCAAATTGGAATATTGGGGCCTCCAAATTGCACATTCAATTCAATGCCTACCTCTTTGTTTTTCATGTGCCGGTTTGTCATCTTCTTTTTCTCTTCTAAAATCAACCTCAATACCTCACGGACCAATCACGTTCATTAGGCTCTTGTGGTTAATAACAATTGATCCGTTATCTATGTCGAAGCGTCTAGATACATGAATTATGTTAGGTTGGTGACTCGAATAACCTGAATAGCGTTCACTGTTGAGTATTGCTGGGAGCGAGTCACACATTGACTAATTAATGAGATAATCACGAGTTTATAGGTAAGTAATACATCTTCATTGATATGAGGTCTTTTGGGAAAACTTACCATTAAGTTCGGAGTCCATTCTTAATAATTCCGACACTCAAATTTCATTACAAGTCTCTATAATCTTATAAATAAATTAGGGAAAAAAACATGGTTAGATTTCTCGAATTTAATACTTGAGTTCAAGTGTTCTCAGTGGTCACTCGTCTAGTGCCTTTTGGCACTTACCGCCGCTTGTCTTGTTTTTATAAACATCACAATCTTAATTATACCGTAAACATTCCTTTCAAACCCCAACTCAAGTTTGTTTTCTTCTTTCAGCATTAAATTGCACAACAATATAATATACAATTTAGTTTTCATGATTGTGAAACCTCATTTCGGTTGAAGAGATGAACGAAACATTATTTGCAAGAGATATAAAACTCTCTTCATAGTAACATATAAAACCCTATTCATAGTAACATAACCTATACTCTTAATAGCGATGACCGTTACAATGATTTAGAAGTCCAAGCACCCACCTATTTTAATCACCATTATCCTAAGGAATGAAGTACATAAACAAAAATATAAAATAATAACTATATATATATATATATATATATATAGGTATGTGTATATAAAGCTTGGCACGGTGAAATTGGACGAGAACAGAGAATATAATTTCATACTTGATTCTGTTTAGCTAATAGAAAGTAATTTATTCCGCTCCCGAATTTGATCGTTGTATTTTATAAACGACTTTATAAAAAGAAGAAAATGATGGCATTTTGAGTTTGATAATGAAGTGGGTCAGAAAAGTGCCCCACAATCCTGAACTGAGTCTTTCAGTCCATCACTTTTATGAGACCCATCTAAGAACAACTCTACAATCACACCTTGACTTGACCTCTGAGAAAGCTCCATCATTCAAATTTTGAACACATAACAAAAGGGATTGGGAATTGCTTTAATTTGAAATCCTCAAGCATTTACTCAATCAATCAATGGAAGTCAGGTCACCACCAATGTGATTTGTTAACATTTGAACATACAAAAGCAGATTGTTGCTGTAAAACAAACCTCTCTGATCTACTCATCTCAAACACTGGATACTCATACTTCCCTCTACCCTGTTCATATTTCAATGAATTCCCAGTTCTAAAACATCGATAACTCTGCGGTTTCGGGTGGATTTGGGTTCGGAAATGGGGGTAGCCTTGACATGCATAATCAGATGGGTTGAAGATTGGGGATTCTTTGTGGTTTCTGTGATGAAACCTGCCGTTGTTTATCAAACAATCAGGTGAGTTGTTGAATTGTTGAGAGAATTCTCTGGAATTGTTAGCCCTCAAACAATTCTCAAACAGATTCAAGGGATTTGAATTTCTAGCAGAGCTCAAATTTCTGTAAGGGATTGTGTTGCAATCAGGGCAAAATTTCTTCATCCTATCCAAATCAAATGCCCTTCTCTTCACATTATCAATTAAACAACCGTAGCCCTACAAACACAAACAATCCCTCGTTCACATTTCTTAACCTAGACGAAATTTCCAAGTAACATTCATAATCATCAAGATTCATGAGCAGTACATGATTATTAAGGAAATCAAATGCCAGATTAACAGTAATCGATCGCCATGGAAACAAAAATGTAGAACCAAACAAACATATATAGCAGAAATTTGTATTTCCAAGAAAATGAATCGAATCGAATCGAATCGAACCTCAGAGACAAGCTTGAAGGCAATCTCGGCCTTGGGGTGCGCATTTTTGTCTGGATGAAGTTGGAGAGCTGCAAATCCAAAGCACATTCCTCAAGAAAACAAAACGAAACAAAATAGCGATCTCGGGAGAGAAAGAAAAGCGAAACTCACCAAGCTTAAGATATCTCCGACGAATGGAATCGATTCCGGCGTCTTGTTCGACCTATGAGAATCATCCATTAACAAAAGAAACGAAGAACACAAACAAAAATCCTTAAGAAAATGGGAAAAACGTACTCCGAAAAGGCGATACCAATCGAGAAAAGGGCGGGAAAAATGGCGGTGAGGGCAAGAGACTGAACGGGCGGAGAATGAGCAGATTTCAGCGGCCAAATCAGATTTGAAATCGGAATCAGGAGCCATCAAGATTCAACTGAAATGGAGATTGAAGAAGATGGAGCAGTTCAGAGGGAAATGGGAGAAGTATGAGCAGATTTTGGTTACTTTTCATTTCATAGTGGATTCAGTTTCTATTTAGTAATATGGAATAAAACCAAATAACGATAATAATAATAATAATAATAATAGTAATAATAAACCATTTCTAAATTTGCCACGTGGATATTTACACCATCTTGTATAATTGGTTGAAACAACCAATGATAGAACATAACATAATAGTTAGTTTTAAAAATACCGTTAAATTTTAAAAAATTTCATTAATATTTTTTATTTTTATTAAAAAAATTCAATTTTTTTTTTATTTTCTATATATACAATAAAAATATTTATCAACATTTCATAGATTATATCTAAACTTTTAAAAGTTTATGAATATTTTTAAGACGTAATAAAGATGAAAATATATTTTAAGTATTTTTCTAAAAAAAAATTAAAAATGTTTTTGAAAATTTTAAAGGTTTATAGGTATTTTTGAAATTTTTTAAATAATATTTAAGAGTATTAATAGAACTTTTGAAAAGTTAATTATTTTTTAAACTCTTTTGAAAATTGACCCATATTTTTGGTATATATATATAGACATATATATATATTGAAAATTTGCTATTAATTTTAAAAAGATTTAAGAGTATTATTAAAACATTTAAAAATTTAATTTAATTTCACTTTCAAGTTTTCAGTCTCATTATGTTATCAAAGTGGTTGGGAAATATATTGATTTATTAAGATTTTTATTTTATTTTTTAGAATAAAGATTATATTGAAAAATGAAAATTATGTATTTACCTTAATTTCGGTAAGTTCGTGGCAAGAATTCTCTGATCTCTACCAAAATAAATGAAAAATGAAATAGATATTGGAGATGCTTCTCCATCCCGCCCACCTCGTGGACACAGCTAATACGAACAACAATTTGAGAAAGACTAACCCCTAACTTCCTTGGTTGGGAAAGGAAGAATGTGGGTTTAGCCTATTCACGTTTCCCGAAACCTAAATTTCTTCACCTTTTGTGCTGTCAGGGTGGGTTGAAAGGAAGAATGTGGGTTTAGCCTATTCACGTTGGGACGTTGGGACAAGAAATTGGGGCCAGGGTGGGTTGAAAATATTGATTGCTGAATAATTGTGCACCTGATTTTCTTGGGAAACTTTATGGTTCTAAAGTAAAAAAACAAAAGGTTTGGTTTTGAATGAGGAATGGGGTAAGTTGAAATTCAAATTGTAGAGTGGGGGGAGTTTTTGTTTTGAATAATTTAGTAATAATTTTATCTGAATTTAATAATTTATTTTATTTTATTTTATTTTTTACCAATTCATGGAAGTTTATGAGCTCAATGCAAATTATACCATGTTTAAATTCATTGGAGAGAGTGGAATGGATTGCAAATTTTGTCCATTTTCCCCAAACCCAAAGAATGTAATAGTATTAGATTAATACAACTTTATTATATATTTGGTGTGGACAAAGTCACATCATAGGGTAGATTTTGAAATTCATGTTCTTTCCACCTTAAATTTAAATAAATAAAAATTATTTGGAACTAACAAGAATCACGTTTTCTTCTTTAAATTAATCAAGACCCCACCCACCAATAATAGAAGAGAAGAATGAAATATTTCTCTAAGCCATATAAAAATCTTTCCTTCACATATGCCTTTTACAAACAATACATAAAACATAAAATGAACAAATATCTATTAGCTAGACTTGAACTGGATGAACTATCAATGCATAATGAACCATTATAAATGATCTTAAACTATTATAAATGATATCGATACCGGATGAACTATGCCTTTTACAAACAATACTTAAAACATAAAATGAACAAATATCTATTAGCTGAACTGGATAAACTATCAATGTATAATGAACCATTATAAATGATCTTAAACTATTATAAATGATATCGATACCGGATGAACTATGAATGCATAATGAACCATTATAAATGATATCAAAGAGGCCAAACCAAAAAATGATATCAGACCAAAATGATAAATTCACTATTAAGTAGTTACAAATATATTTTTTACTTTTTTGAAAAAACTGAAACATGTGTTAAATTAAATAATGCATATAAATAGCATTCGAACTATAGAAGAAATAAATAAAATCATGTACATTGAAAATAATTAATTAAACAATTCACGTGAACAGAAATAAAAATTATAAATCGGTAACTGCTGATACAGTTAAAGAGACTAGAGCAAGCAAGCGGTAAGAGAGAGAGAACGATTAAAAAATAGAGAAATTTTAATAGAGCCCCCACTCATGAGAGAGGGGCTTCCAAAAATTGACGGGCAAGCCCCCACCTGAAGTAGGGTGGGCGCTCGCTCGCCGTATGTACCATGTGTTCGTATTGGTAGGTGTCGGCACGACTAGTCGTCTCTATACGATCATTAACCAGTCGCCTTTCACCCCCTGACAGGTCGGGATGAGTTAGCTTGAAACCCAATAACGTTATTTATAGCCCCCCCCCCCCATCCCTTCGTTGGGATTTTCCGATGTGGGAGCGCTTCCATCGCTTCTATTGCTATTGGCGGCCCACGTTCCATCCTCCTAATCTAAATGGGCTTAAGCCCATCCATTTCATTGCTTGTAGCTCTATGTATACTATTTTCAGTTTTTTTTTTTAATTAAATTTGAGGGTATTATTTTTCAAAAATAAAATACTACAACTACTCTCACTTCGCTTCAAAGTCTAATCAGTGCAATTGAAATCGAAGAATTTATAGCTTTGAAGATGGAAAATATTAGTGGATGAATACATAAGATTAGCCTGGGTTTGGTTAAAGAAAAATTTATCAGACCATCACAAAATTGTTTCAAATCCAACCAAACTCAACCCTCTTTTTGAATTTGGATGTCCGGTTGTGCAAAATTGTTTCACACCGTGGCTAGCGGTGTGGGCATGGAGGGCTTCGGACACTCGGCAAAGTAGAAGGTAAGGTGTGGAAATGTTTGAGAGTGCATAGAAAAGCAATTGACTAATGAACTTAAAAAAGACATCAATTTGGTGTTGTTTTCGTCTCCAAATTGGTTACTACAAATAGCAAAAGGCATATGGGTTTCTTCTACTAGAATTGTACCGTGTGGAGAAAAGCCAAGACATTCCTCTCCAATGTCCAACACCTTGAAATTGTGCTTCAAACAAGGTAGGCCAAAGAAGAAATTATGGGTAATTACCTAACTCTTTCCGCTACTAAATTTGTTGCACTTGGAGAAAAATTAAGACGACGACGATATATAACGAGAATAATGTCTATTAGTGATGGTCTGAGACTATTACAATGGTATAAGTGTCAGGTTCCGAGTGGTATGTCCAGCGATGACACTGAACCTCCAACAAGGGTGGATTGTAAGATCTTACATCGGTTGGAGAGGAGAACGAAGCATTTTCTTATAAAAGTGTGGAAACATATCTCTAATAGATGTGTTCTATGTTACTCATACGTAATAGGTTAAAGTGGACAATATATGCTAGCGGTTGTTTGAATTCGGTATAGATAAAAGATCTTTAAGCCTACCACTCGTCACGTCCACGACAGATTAAAATTTTGTAGGTTTCTAGAAAAGAAACATATTTAGCTTGGAGTTTGGTGAGTGTGTTGCTGGATGCACCCACAGATTAAATGTTGGTGTACTATTGAACACCAAACTTTGTACATTCAAGTCTTCAACTCTCTTGCAGTGCATTCTCCCATGCATAATTTGGATTTTCCACGTGTCTCCATCAAATTATTAATTTTTTTTATATGTCGATATTTTTGATATTTTTACATATTTCTAGATTCAATCGACAATTTTATTATATCGTAAAAAACTTGATGAATAATGATATTTTCATATAAATAATAACACGTTTAACCATTATAATATTTATTTATTAATTCTATATCTTTAATTTATTTTTTATCGTATCAACATTTTTATTATTCGAAATTTATTAAAAGATTCTCAACTTTATTCGAAGAACTAAAGAGTATTTTATTTATTAAATATTCTTAAAAAAAAAAACACACTATTTAAAGTTTGACATTGGTACGAGGAATTTGTCATTTTTGGTGATTTTTCTAAATAAAATCTCCTTTTTAAGGGATTAGATTAAGTAGTTGGCAGCTGGAGTTGATCAGGTTCATGAACCAAACCGATGTAGTTCCCCCACTTGCATTAAACATTAAACATTATATTATAATCTATATACATATTAATCTTAATCATTGGCTTATTATAAAGTATTGTATTATTATTATTATTATTATTATTATTTAGTGGGCCATTATGAATTATCAAATCCTTTCCCAAATCTAACGCTAATAACGACAACACAACTTTAAACTTCACAAAAACACACCCAATTTAATATCTTAATTTTTATAAACTTTTGTCTCATTCATAACATTATATCTCATTAACATACCATATTGTAACTAAAATATGTAACCTTTCGATGGATGGATGAGTTCGTAGTTAAAATCTGACATCTATTTATTTATTTTAGTTGTCAAATTTTTAATGGCTTTGGGAATTTTTAGAGTTGAAAATTTTGTTGTTGATATATGAGAAGATCATCGACCCACCAGAGGTCGGCCGAGGGCTCCACCGAGGGCGAGGGGTAGAGACCCAAAAATGATTCCAAGGTGGGTTCGATGTTGTTTGGTGGGAGATGTTGTTGCGGCGGCGGCGGTGGGTGAGGGAAGTTGAGTTTGGCCTTTTTGCCTCTGATTCTTACCGCGGCTTGGTCGTAAGCTATGGCAGCTTCTTCAGCGGTGTTGTAGGTACCGAGCCAAACACGGAGGCCCTTTTGTGGGTCTCGAATCTCAGCGGCCCATTTTCCCCACGGCCGCTGCCGGATTCCTCTGTATTTGGTTTTGCGAATTTTTTTAGGCTTCTTGACTTCACCAGCCACTCCCTCCGTCGCCGCCGCCGCCGGTGCTTCTTCACAGCCGTTGGGGTTCTCAATTTTGACTAACATAATAAGAATCAAAGATTAAGAAAAAGACCCAATAATTGAATTGAAGAAACAGAGAGGGAGTAGTGTACCTTGAGAGGGGTGTGAAGAATTGGCGGAGAGGTCGAGGCCGAGGCCGAGGAGGTCGGAGAAGGTGGTGTCGACGACGGGATCGGAGATGATAGCGCCGCCGCACATGTTGATGGAGTGAGGAAGAGAATGAAATGAAAGGGTATTTATAAGGGAGGAGGCGACGGTTATAACGTAAATAGAAGTTACCAAGAAACGACAAATCGGCATCACATTTTTTGACCATATACTATATAATATACTCCTTTTTATTTATAACTCTCGTCCGTTTCCCCTTTTTCTTTTTTTATAAATCTTATATTATGTTATAAATCATTTCTTCTTCCCTTTATTTGGGTGCGGAATTTAGACCTATATCAATTGGGCATAGGTTGAATTGAATTGGTGACTAGACAATCCGAACGACTTTGTGTTAAGAATGACAAATAGAAATAGAATTGGAATCGAAAGTATGATCTTCATTCATATTTATCACGTTTAAATAGGATACAAACTATCACCTAATTATAATTTGCTATGTTTTAAATAAAAATGCCTATTTTACTTGAGTTGGGACTATGCACAGATCCACCTCGAACAGAGACCAGGAATTTTCCAAAATAAATGAGGTGAGAGACGAAATTATATTTTTAATTAGAGACTATTTTTAATATATATTAAAAATAAATGAGTTAATTAATAGATTAAAATAAAATAACGTGAAAAGAATATAAAACGAAATTTCATTGGGTTTATTGGAATGCCTTGGGCCGAGCCCATGTAATTAGCGTAAGGGTTTAGTTGATCTTCATTAATTATTTATCTATATTAAGTAAGCATTGTAACGTATAATTAAATGCTGTGATGCAACCAAAATTTATAATTACAACTTTACCACACACACTTTCCATTTTCTAAGTAGTTGAAGCTTAATGGACAAAAACCTGATTAAAAGTCACTAAATAAGTCGAGTTAATAGAGAAATAAACTTTAAAATTTACAACAACTATTTATTTATATTAATATTGAGTTGGTTTTACTTTTAAACTAACTTATAAGTATATTTACCTTAAATGACCTATTAGACTAACTTTTTAACTTCAAACACCAAATAAACATAAATCTAAAAGTTTCGTAACAGCTCAAGCCCAAGACCAATTACGTATTGCCATCAACTTCACGGGTTTAAAACATGTCTACTAGAAAGATGTTTCCACACCCTTGTAATGAATGTTTCGTTTTATTTTTCAACCGATATGGGATCTCACAATTCACCCCTTTAGAAGCCAGTATTCTCGCTAACTCTGATACTATTTGTAATAACCCAAGCACACCACTAGATAGTGTTTGCTTTGGCCAGTTACGACCACCGTCCGCTTTACAGTTTTAAAACATGTATACCAGTGAGAGGTCTTCACAACTTTATAATGAATGTTTAGTTCTCCTCTCCCACCAACATGGAATCTCACAACCTTTGGGCCCACCGCATGATATTTGGTTATGATACCATTTATGACAGCCCAAACCCACCGCTAGTAGATAGTGTTGAATTTTAAAACGCAGACTTCTAGAGAGAGGTTTTCACCCCTTCTTGTGTTTTCTGCTCATTAGAAAGACCCTGCTACAGAAAACACGACAAGACCTAAGGTTATCATTGCGTTCTCCTCTCCAACAAATATGAAACCTCACAATATCAATTAATCATTAATATAGATATCAAACCCATAAGCAAGACCTTAGCCCGACCCTACCCTAGGCGCCTGTGTGATCGTTCGATTCGAACAAAAAAAACGAGACATCTTCCAAACTCCATACCATTTTCTACCACTTAGTTACTTAGAATTTCCACAAATCCAAGGCCGTGACTAATAAATAGGTAAGGAGCCCCGAATTTGGCCTTTTTGTTTTTGTTTTTGTTTAAGTAAGGGCAGCTCACCTTTTTGAATAGAAGGAAGTGAGATAGCATTCGTTCTTTCGATAAACCGATGCATGAGCTAAGCCTCCCATGTCCAGCTGACTCTTCGAAAAAGACGGATCGTCAAACGACTCATAGGGAGCCAAAAGCAAGCGGAGTCAAAGGCAGGTGAGTTCAAACTCACGTAAATAGAGGGGGAGACACATTCATGAAACGCGAAAAGTTGTGGAAGACTAGCCAACTATGATATAAATATCTAACTTTTGGGTAAGAGTATGAACATCTGGCTCAATTCAAGAAGACAGCAAAAGTGATAAGAAAAGAAACTGAATATATCTGAATTTCCATGGCCATCGTACAAGATCAATGTATCACAGCACAGTTTTTTCTTTGTTATCATAAACAATACAAGTAATGCATGTTGAAAACATCAGAAGGGTCACACATACAAAACCAAACCATGTAATGGAAACATTGAGTCATTCCACCAGCATATTCAGATAGCATGAAGGGAACCCGTCTAATTCTATATTCAAGAAACTACATGAACAAAAGTTGTGATACGAACCTTTAGTTTGCCAACTTTGTCAACCGGTGAATCGTGCTTCTTGCAACTCTGTTACCCGGATCAATCTTCAAGACAGCCCTCAGGTCTTCGGATCCTAGTTTGTACTTCTCCATACTTTCATACAAAAGCGCACGTTGAACAAGAACAGATACATTTGCATCATCTTGATCCAATACCTGCACAGAGGATATGCCTTTCTTATAAGGAACGGTAGAAGACATGAGATTTAGTAGAGTATATTATCTAAGCAAAAACCAAACACTGGAAACCAATAATCTAAGAAGTTGTCTGCTAACTCCTCCAGTGAGCTAACCATTTTGTAGCACCCAGTTTTTCCTCCTCCATCAAACAATATCTATGGTGTCACCTCCAAATACCAAAACACACCAAAGATAAAGTGTGAGATCCACATTGGTTGGAGAGGGGAATGAAACATTCTTTATAAGGGTGTGGAAACTTCTTCCTAGCGGACGCATTTTAAAACCTTCAGGAGAAGCCCAAAAGGGAAATCTCAAAGAGGACAATATATGCTAGCGTGGGCTTGAGCTGTTACATAAAGTTGATACTTTTCTTTTTTCCCTTTTATAAGAACCGAGTTATGATAGCAGTGAACAAAGAACCACTCCAAATTTCCTTCTAGCTAATGTCTCTGTTACTTAGGCCTAGAATTTAGGGTGCCTATAGTTGATACAAACATAGTTTCCAAGTTAATAGGTATATAAGGCTAATATGGTACCTTCACCTTCAAAGAATGCGAGAAAAGGGGCGTAATAGCAGATTATTAGAGAATTTGGATCTTGTACCTTCGTACAATCAACCACAGCCTTCTTATATTCCCCAACTTCTTTGTAGCATGAAGCTCGTGTCGATAAAACTTCAACTATGGCAGTGTTATCACCAGCTTTCTCAAAAAGAACCACAGCCCAAGAAAGCCACTTAATAGCATCGGCGTATTGTCCCTGCTTGTAGACATTGACTCCCTTGTTCTTTGCCAAAGAAGCTGTCACCCCTGCGGGAGGAGGTGGAAGTCCTTCAATCTCAGTAGTTGAACCACCCATGTCATGACCACCTACCCCGAACTCTGAATCTAATCCCCAATCATCGGCATCCAAGGACTGCGGCGCTCCAACTGCTTCAGGTGCCATTGGGGCACCTCCAGCTGAGGCTTTGGATGAGTTAAACAGCATATCAAGTGGATCATTGACAGAGGTTTGAACAGTATCTTGAACCCTGGAACCAAAATCCATTGAGGGCATTCCAAAACCATCCATGTTTATGTCAGAATGAAAACTTGATCCCTTGAAACCGACACCTCTCCCACTCGGTCCGCTCGAGGGAAATGCTGTAGTGCTTGGATATGAAGCATTCTGGAAATCCCCAAATAAGTCTTCGCTTGAATTGATCTTTTGACTCTTACTTGTTGAATTCAGATTCCCGGATGATTTAGATCCGAAGTCAACTAAAGAACCAAAGGGATCCTTGCTAGAGCTCGTCTTACCACTGCCGATGGTTGAACTCATGCTTGGACCTCCAAGATTCGGAGCCTTGATATTAGTGGTATTACTCTGATTACTATTCCTACTGCTAAGATTATCAAAGCTCCAATTTCCACTATTTTTACCCGGATTACTACTAGCTTTAGGCAACGAATCGGCCATATTTGGCATCGAAAACGAATTTATATTCGATGCGGCACCCGATGACACCGAAGCCGGAGCAGCATTCTTCAATGGAGCATTCACATTGCTCTTACCCGATCCCAGGGAAGAACTTACCAAATCGCCAAACAGATTCGGATTCTTTTCAACAATTCCAATGCCCGCAGTGGAACCAGAATTCGCCGTCGAACACCAGCTCTTCCCAAATATATCACCGACCATGGAAAAGGGCGGATTGGCCAAGTTAGGCTGTGCCGGCTGATGCGTCCATGAGGGCTTGTTAGGCTGCCAGGCCGGCCTCGTCTGTGTCGAGGAATACGAAGAACTAGAGGAAGCGTATGAAGAATATGATGGGGTTTTGTTTTTCTGATCGTTGAGTGATTTGGAGCGAGAGGTTCCAAGTCCCAAATCGAAATCGAAATTCTTCCCAAGATTAGAATTCATGTCTAGTTGAATTCAAATCCCTAGATAAAGAATCAAATTAAGAATTGAAAAAGGATCTACCCTTTTCAGAAGCGTACCAAAGCGGAAGAGATCAAGGATTCGACAATCAGGTGAAAAACAACCTATAGATCCGACGACAGTGGAAGGCGGCGGCGGAAGATGGGTAGAAATGGGGACAGTGGCGCGGGGCAAGGTTCCAAAGAGTCTCTCGTGAATCGCCCTCTCTGGTTCTTTGTAGCCTCACCGACCTGACTCTTGCCGGTCAATATTTAGTTTTTATCATTTTTTTTATGTAAATAAAATAAAATAAAATAATCCAATTTTAGGCCTAATTGTTTTTAAAACCAAATCAATCCTAAGAGTAAATAGGTATGTAATGCTTCTATGTTAAAAAAAAAACATTTCTAAAAATAAATTAAAAAAGAAACCCACTTATAATCCAGCTATATAATTAATATAAAAAAAAATGAAAATTACTGTATAATATCAAATATTAAATATTTATATTATATTCATTTTTCATATATTTATTAGGCATCTACCCGGAAAAAAAAAAATGAAATTAGAAATGTTCTCGACCTTCGAGGGATCCCGCCCCAAATGACCATAAGAGGAGGAGATTCGGAGTCATAAACATTTTTTTACGGTGTTGGGCACAAAATTATATTATCTGTCTCTGTCCCTTTCTAATTTCCTGTCTCATACTTAATATAAATATATTTTCAACACATTAATTAATTTTGAGACTAATTGAAATATTTGATGAGTCAAACAAGACCAATTAAAGAAGAAAAATATATAGATGAAATACGCTCTCATGCTTCTTTAACGGATTGACACGTACAAAAATGTCTTAAAAGAATATGCTGAATTGACCTTATTTTAACAGCAAATGAAAAAGCCCTTGTGAACCTAAAATGTTGAATTAAGAACGGTGAAGGTATTGAGAGCACCCATGCAATTGAAGCGCCCAATTTCATACTTCTCCGGTGGGTGAGTGGCGGTGAGATTGATATAAGAAAGGTGAACGTTGTTACAAGGCATGGTTGAACTGCAGTTTATATTTACTGCGAACTTAGTGTTGTAAGTTCCACTGATGTTTCTCATGTTCATCTCACTCAGCTTCACACTTGATGGCTGATAAAACAAAAAACACGAACACTCGTTATTCTAAACAACGGAAATAAAACACTCCGAAGGGAGCTAATGTTTCTCATGTTCATCTCACTCAGCTTCACACTTGATGGCTGATAAAACAAAAAACACGAACACTCGTTACTCTAAACAACGGAAATAAAACACTCCGAAGAGAGCTATCAACTCCCGTTACGTATCTGCTAGGGAGAGGTTTCCACACCTTTATAAGGAATGTTTTGTTCCCCTCTCCAAACAATGTGGGATCTCACAATCCAGGTTTCCACACCCTTATAAGGAACCAATGTGGGATCTCACAATCCAGGTTTCCACACCCTTATAAGGAATGTTTTGTTCCCCTCTCCAACCAATGTGGGATCTCGCAATCTAGGCTTCCACACCCTTATAAGGAACCAATGTGGTATCTCGCAATCCAGGTTTCCACACCCTTATAAGGAACCAATGTGGTATCTCGCAATCCAGGTTTCCACACCCTTATAAGGAACCAAGGTGGGATCTCACAATCCAGGTTTCCACACCCTTATAAGGAATGTTTTGTTCCCCTCTCCAACCAATGTGGGATCTCGCAATCTAGGCTTCCACACCCTTATAAGGAACCAATGTGGTATCTCGCAATCCAGGTTTCCACACCCTTATAAGGAACCAATGTGGTATCTCGCAATCCAGGTTTCCACACCCTTATAAGGAACCAAGGTGGGATCTCACAATCCAGGTTTCCACACCCTTATAAGGAATGTTTTGTTCCCCTCTCCAACCAATGTGGGATCTCGCAATCTAGGCTTCCACACCCTTATAAGGAACCAATGTGGGATCTCACAATCCAGGTTTCCACACCCTTATAAGGAATGTTTTGTTCCCCTCTCCAACCAATGTGGGATCTCGCAATCTAGGCTTCCACACCCTTATAAGGAACCAATGTGGGATCTCGCAATCCAGGTTTCCACACCCTTATAAGGAACCAAGGTGGGATCTCACAATCCAGGTTTCCACACCCTTATAAGGAATGTTTTGTTCCCCTCTCCAACCAATGTGGGATTTCGCAATCTAGGCTTCCACACCCTTATAAGGAACCAATGTGGGATCTCGCAATCCAGGTTTCCACACCCTTATAAGGAACCAATGTGGGATCTCGCAATCTAGGTTTCCACACCCTTATAAGGAAACCCTTATAAGGAACCAATGTGGGATCTCGCAATCTAGGTTTCCACACCCTTATAAGGAAACCCTTATAAGGAACCAATGTGGGATCTCACAATCCAGGTTTCCACACCCTTATAAGGAACCAATGTGGGATCTCGCAATTCAGGTTTCCACACCCTTATAATAAATGTTTTGTTCCCCTCTTCAACCAAGGTGGGATCTCGCAATCCAGGTTTCCACACTCTTATAAGGAATGTTTTGTTCCCCTCTCCAATCAAGGTGGGATCTCGCAATCCACCCTCATTGGGTCCAGTGTTCTCACTAGCACATTGTCCGACTTTGATACCATTAGTAACAGTCCAAGCACATCGCTAGCAAATATTGTCTACTTTAACCTCACAGTTTTTAAATGTGTCTGCTGGAGGAGGTTTCCACACTTTTATAAGGAATGTTTTGTTCCCCTTTCTAACTAATGTGAGATTTCGCAATCCACCCTCATTGGGGGCCAACGTCGTTGCTAGCACACCATGTCTAGCTATAATACCATTAGTAATTGTCCAGTGATCGATCAAACTAGGCATCAAAATAGTTTACCTCTTTCGTGTCACAAGAATGGTTAGGACAATAATGTTGATCTATGATAATGGGATTTGAGACATTGTTCATCACAATGTTTTGAAACGTCAAATGAGCAGCATTACTTGAATAATTTCCCGGCCATGTCTTTACCCTCACTCCATTTTGGGTATCACTTATGGTGCAATTCTCCACTCGTATTCCTATCACATCCATCTCGTTCTTGTACCTCCCTAGGCTCCCAACGCTGCATTACATCGTAAGTGTCTCAAACCAATTCTTTTAAATAATTAACTTCAAAAGGATTAAACAATACCTGATTCCATGACCTGGGCCACATCTAATATTCGAAACTAATACGTCGAAGCTACCAGGTCCAATGGAAACACAATCGTCACCGACTCCGATGTGGGAATTGGCAACGTTGATATTGGTGGAGTTACTAATATGGATGCCATCCGTATTCTGACTATTCCAAGGCGCCGTAATATTAAATCCATAAAGATGAATATGGTCGCACCCATGCATGGCTACGTGAAAGCCCTTGCTATCTACAAGGCTTATGTTTTTCACTATTGCATGTGACACACCCGTTAGCTTTAAAGACTGTTTTGAACCAAAAAAAAAAAAAAAAACATTAAAGTTTACGAATAAACTCTCCATGATATTCTCCACTTTGGGTTTCTCTAAAAGTCACGTATCAATGGAGAGAGTATTATTTGTTTATAAACTCATGATCATTCCCTAAATTAGTCTATTTGGTTCTTTTATCATTCAACAATATGTTTACCGTGGTGAAAATGGGGCAAGTCATGCGGTGGCGGCAGGCGGAGCCGAAGGACCAGGTTTGGGCGCCTTGACCATTGAGAACGGTGGATCCGTCGAAGCCGGTGAGGAGGAGGTGGCGGAGGGAGTGGAAGTGGATCCAAACGTCGGTGGTGAGTTTGGTGGGAGCAATCAAAGTGGCGAAAATGAGGACTTTGGGTGAGAGGTTATTGAAACATGGGCCGGAAAATGTGACTCCGGCGACCAAGAAAGTGCCCTCTGGTATTAAGAAAATGGAGTCGCCTTTGAAAGCACAAGCTTCTTCCCACGCAGACATGAATGCCTATAATTGGTTGAGTTGGTTAATTTACAACGTATCACTAATATTAATAAAATATTTAATTTTTTTTAATTTTTTAAAATTTACAACGTATCACTAATATTAATAAAATATTTAATTTTTTTCTAATTTTTTAAAATTTAGAACGTATCACTAATACTAATAAAATTTTTATTTTTTTTTTAATTTTTTAAAATTTACAACTATCACTAATATTAATAAAATATTTAATTTTTTTTAATTTTTTAAAATTTACAACTATCACTAATATTAATAAAATATTTAATTTTTTTTAATTTTTTAAAATTTACAACGTATCACTAATATTAATAAAATATTTAATTTTTTTCTAATTTTTTAAAATTTACAACGTATCACTAATATTAATAAAATTTTTAATTTTTTTAATTTTTTAAAATTTACAACTATCACTAATATTAATAAAATATTTAATTTTTTTTTAATTTTTTAAAATTTACAACGTATCACTAATATTAATAAAATATTTATTTTTTTTTAATTTTTTAAAAGTAAGGTAGAGTTAAAAATTCGGTGTTTGATAAGTTTTTGTTTAAATATTTTATATATTTTAAGTGAATTATAATACATAGAATAATAAATTTAGAATGAAAATTAAATATATGAGTTTTAGTTCGTGTATTAATAAAATTTAAAGGTGTAATTTGGTAGATAAATTAGTGAAAATTATGTAATAATAATAATAAAAGTAATTTACCAAGCTGTTCTCCGTCTTCCCATCGGGAACTGCCCCATAATCATTTACGTTAAACACACCCCGTCCACTCAAAGGAAATTCGCCGGAGGGCTCCGGCGCGAGAGAATCAAATCCACCGTCCGCAGATTCAAGAGGCGTGTCCGGCGAGAAAGTGCTTGCAGATACAGAAAGGGACAGAAGAAAAGAGAACAAAAATGGTGAAAGCTTCATGGTTCTTGAAATTCTCGGATGCAAGAAATTGTGGAGGATTGGCTAGTTATATATTCTGATGAATTGGATTATTCACATGGAGTTTCTTCCTCCTTACTTATAGCTTGTTCGTTTCAGAACCTGAAATTAAAATTTCAATAAGGTTCGTTTCTGGTCGTATTTTCATTTAATTTCATTTAATTTTCGTTTGCCATTTCTTTATTGAGTTTTTTTAGCTGTTTTCTTTCGTGAATGCCAGTTATTTAACTTTGCATCATGTTAATTTTGTTTGAGAATGAAGTAATGATGAACAATGTAACAATCGGAACTATTTTCTTGAATTTAGGGTTCTTATGTTTGATACGCTTATCAATCTTTTTTAGGGTTCTTCGGTTTGGCTTTTGATTCTGTAAATTCTGTAAGGAACAATGATCCGAAATAGAATTGCTACTCAAAAAGATTTTTGAATTAGATTGAATCTGAGAAGCATCGAGCCACTGTAACATGACTTATGAATCAGGCCATGTTACAAATTAAGCACAGAAGAATATCAGAAAAGTAAGCAAAAAAAAAAAAAAAAAAAAAAAGGAAGAAGAAGCTTGAACTGTAACCTGAAGGGCATCATTTGCAAGGGGGTGGAAATTGAACTCCTCTGTAGCCTACTTTTGCATTGGTACAAGTAGAAACAAATGGCAAGGATTTCTTTGGAGGGCCACTGTATTTCAAATTGATGTTAAACAACTCTATGTTTTGGCATGGAAACCGCTTACTGCATTTGAGATGAACTGCTACTGAAGAGATTGTGGATCCTTTGACATTAATGAAATGAACATCGCTGATTTTTACTCGTGATGGCTGCATAGCGTAATCGATTAAACAAGGTTAGTTGATAAGAAGTTGCATTGGAAGAAGTGGGGGGAGATTGAGAAATGGAAGACGAAAACGAACCGGCCTTTGGCAATTAGTTTTTGAGCAGCTGTACTCTTGGTCTATGAGGATGGGGTTCTTGACGTCGATCATATTGATGTCTTGGAATAGGATGCCCGAGGCTGCACTCGGGGGTGAGTCTGGCCATGTTTTGATCCGAAGTCCATTATCTGTTTTTATTAATGTACAGTTCTTGATGACGACACCGAGCACGTCCTCCTCATTATCATATTTTCCAAGGCTTCCAACACTGTCATAGCAGACATCAAATTAGACAGAGTAGGAAGGCAGAGAAGCCTCTGTTGATCGAACGATGTGGGAGCTACCTGATACCGTGCCCAGGACCGCAGGTTATTTTGTTGATGGTGACATTCATTGATCCTCGACCCAGGGAGATGCAATCGTCACCAGTGGAAATAACTGATCTCGATATTTTCACTTTGTTGGAGCGGCTCAGATGTATGCCATCAGTGTTGGGACTGTCGTCTGGCGCCGTTATGTGTAGTTTTTTCAGCCGAACGTTCTCACTGTTCGTGATGAACATGTGAAACCCCTTGCTGTTGATGGAACTGATGCCTTTCATGAATACATTTGTGATGCCATTGAATTTCAAATTCTAGGAAGAAAGGAAAAGGGAAACCACAAGAGTATTTAAGAGACAGCCATTGAAGTGAGTTCATAGTAAGGCAGCCAGAGCCTAAGTACTTACAACAGGGAGCTTCTGGCAAGTGGGATTCATACCACAGTCGTTGTATTTCCAGACAGCATCACCTTGTCCATCCAAAGTACCTCTGCCAGTGATTATCAAGCCATTGATCTTCTCAAACAATATCCATTCATTAGAGACGTAATTGCTCAGGTCGATGCCTCCTTTTAAGGTCGCATCGATTTGAACGACGATAGGACTTGTCGAGGCGCATGGCCCTGCAAACACTATTTGATTGATCAAAAAAGTACCCCCAGGAATAACTACTCTTGCAGCTCCCTTGGAGTGGCATGCTGCAACCCATGTCTTCATAAAACTCTGCAAAAACCAGCCAACAAAACATCAGGTACACCAAAACCTTATCAAACAACAATAAAACATTCTCAATAATCACCTGAGTATTATCTTTCTTGCCATCAGGTTTAGCACCAAAACTGAGAACATTAAACACGGTCTCCTTCCGATGTCTAATGTCCTTCCCGAAATTGATCTTTTGAAAGAGGTCAGGCGGGTTCGTCCCGACGAAGAATTTGGCGTTAACTGCAACCAATTCTACCAACAATAGCCAGGTAAGAAGAGTGGCTTGTTTGAAAGCAGATTTCATTGAAACTTATGAAAAAAGGTATTGGGTATGTTTATTTTAGGATCAAACAGCCTCCAAGGGGAGGCCAGAGAAGTAAAAGGAAAAGCTTGGTTTCTTCCCTCTGTGCTTGGTTATTTTATAGCAGTTTTGAAAGGGTGTCCGTGGTTGTCTTGTTTGTTGACATGAAAAGGCCTAAAAATAGTGGAGTTCCTTTAATATAGGAGGCATTACCAACATTTTGTTCGTTCTTAGCCCAATTTGTCACCGGTTAAGAGAAGAACTCGGTGCCCATTTCCATGCCTCACCAGGTATCAAAAACTACTTGTATATATAGCTTGGTGACTCAAATATGCCTGGAAAAGGTACTTTTAAACTGCATTTTAACCATTTTTTAAGTTTGTCCACTACGATTGTTTCGTTGTTTGAGTTCTGAATTTTGGTTCGATCTAAATGATATTCTGTATGATTTGGGTTAGTCTTGATACTAAGATGCCTTAATGCCCCTTTTTATTTTATGAACAACACTCCTTTGAGATAGAAAATCAAATAATCGGTAGAGATGGTATGGAGAAGTGATCTTAGTATCTATCGGTAACACTCTTAAACAGATCTTTTGTATAGTTCAATTGATTCACGTATTTTTGATCAAGAGATCAAGAGTTGAATTCATAATTAGTCCGTAGTAGAAACAGAGTCGCCTTAAGTCTTGCAAGACTCTTCACAAGCTAGCTATTTCTAAGAGTGGAGACTGTCGACCAACATAGGTCTTTTCAGTATCCTTTGAGATCAACACGTTGTGAGATCCCACATCGGTTGGAGAATGGAACGAAGAGTTGCTTATAAGGGTGTGGAAACCTCTCTCTAGTAGATGCATTTTAAAATCGTAAGATTGATGATACATAACGAGCTAAAACAAATAATATTTGTTAGGGGGGTTTGAGCTGTTACAAACACGAGCCATTTTAGCGTACAAAGTACGAGCAATTGATTATTGATTGTAAACCAATACAAATTCTTTTAACATCGCGTGTCCTCACTTGCATGTTTTCTAGGAAAATTGTCATATCTTTGCGATCACTCTCGTGGGTTGGTTCGTTCATGTATCATTTATTCATTCGGGTGTCAAAAATATTATTATTGTTTTTTTGAGAAATTAGATAAAAATTCGGATAATTTAAGTGTGATTATTGCATAGGCTTGAAAGTATAATTGAAACTCCTATGATTCAAAATTTAATGCGAACCGGTACAAGTTTGAAGCTGCAACCACAATTATAATGACAAAAACATTTGGAGAAAATTTAATGCGAACATTTGGAGATATTATTAATCAGATGTAACATCCAATAATAGCAATAGCCTTTTCATGTTCTTTATTTAAAATAATATTTTTATCTCTTCATTAATTTTATTTAACGTGAATAATGCATTTCCAGATAACTTTTGAAAATACAACATTTTTTTTTTGTATTTTCGAAATTAATACATATAATCTTAATAGAAAGAAAAATAATTTGTTTTTTTTTTAATAGGCTCATATTAGCATAAAATAATAATATATATTTTATTTATTGAATTTTACCAATTGAAAATTTTTATTTTAAATATTAGACTATAAAAATTTGAATATCTAATTTGAAAGAAGATCTGAATCTATGGGTATGTTTTTTTTGTCATAGTGACACTCAAACACTCGGTGTACAAGTAAGTTGTGTGAAAATCGAATTTGCGGATAATCTTGACGTGTGATCGAGTCTCGAGTTATTGAAGTATTAGTTCTTATAACTTTGGTTTGAGTTTTCAACATCTACCCCAAACCATATATATATATATATAATTGGGTAATGATGTGACACTCTTGCCCTCGGATTTGATGTCATTCCTTGGTTAGCGTGGTCGTTCTTCTTGACCTGATCCAATTTTACATTGGAATTCTCGGGATTCTTGTGATCTAAATCCTCTACTGATACCTCAACCATGGCGAAGCGCACGTTTGATCTGCTAGGCCATGTTCGTCCTGCTCACGAGCTTGACCTCAATGCCTTGCTCCATTACTGTTCCGCTAATGTTCCTGCTTTTCCTCCCTCCCCATCTAATTTCCGCGTCTCTCAGGTACGTCTCCGTTTCGCTTCCCCCTTGCGTTCTTATTGTTCTAATTTGATCGGTGTAGTGTATTGGCGTTGATTGATTTGTGTTGTCTCTTCTCATCTTTGGAGATTAGTTCGGACATGGCCAATCAAATCCGACTTATCTTATCGAAGTTGCTTCCGGAGCTTCTTCGAAACGGTATGTTTTGAGGAAGAAACCACCGGGGACGCTACTCCAGTCTGCTCATGCCGTTGAAAGGGAGTTTCAGGTGCTAATTAGTCTCTTATTTGGCCAGAAATATTTTGTTCTTGATTTCATCAAAGGATAGAAATGAACCCGAACGAGAATGATCGCAACTTCATTTAACTTTCATTAAGTGATCAAAAGCGACTGTGCTCTATTCATATAGAAGAGCTATAGTGAATACAGCTGAAAATGAGTACAACTGTTTTATCTCAAAGAATATCAGTGCGCCATCTAGAATCACAACCCTCCACAATAGTATGATATTGTCCACTTTAAGTATAAACTCCTGCAGATTTGCTTTTGGTTTCTCCAAAAAGCCTCGTACCAATGGAGATGTATTCCTTACTTATAAACCCATGATCATCCCCTTAATTAACCAATGTGGGACTCCCTCTCAATGATCCTATATCGAATTACTGCATTTATTCGAGCGATCAACGCAATTTAAAAAAAAGAATCGCTTATTCCTCCGTCTCTCAAACAATTTCCTGATAAAAAAAGCTAATAGTAAAAAGAAGAGTGATACTTCATGTACTTTTCCAAATTGCAGTTGCAATGAGAACTTTAAGGTTATGATTTTCAGTTTCAAATTTTGATTTGATAGGTTCTTCGAGCATTAGGTGATTACACTCAAGTTCCAGTTCCTAAAGTTTTCTGCCTGTGTTCTGATTCAAGCGTAATTGGTACTCCTTTTTATATTATGGAGTACTTGGACGGACGAATATTCCTAGACCCCAATTTGGTGGTACGTCTATTATGTTGTGAAGTTTTACCAGCTATTGAATTACTTCTAATGGATTGAATGTTATTGCATTAGGGAGTTGCGCCCGAAACTAGAAGAGCAATATATTTAGAAGCTGCGAAATGTTTAGCTTCTCTTCATTCAGTTGATGTTAATGCCATCAGTCTAGAAAAATATGGGCAACCGAAAAATTACTGTAAGCGACAGGTGTGCCCAAAATCTTTATGCTGTTCTTGATTACGAGTCCTTGAAATTCTCTTTCATACGTTATATTGCAAGGATATTTCACCAGAAGGGTAAAGAAATGGTCATAATAACGTTGTTGGCCAAACCGTGTAATATAAAAAGAAACATTGCTTATAAACTTCTGTTTATTTTTCCTAGATTGAGAGATGGGCAAAGCAGTATATTGCATCAACCAGTGATGGTAAAGTAGATGGAAATCCAAAAATGTTTGCGTTAATTGATTGGTTACGGCGACATATTCCTTCAGAAGATTCTTCAGGTGTCACAGCTGGTCTAGTCCATGGAGATTTTCGAATTGATAATCTTATATTTCATCCCACTGAGGTTTGCTATTTCTTCTAAATAAATATTTCCTCTGCCCTCCTTTTGTATTGAACTTGTTCATCCAAGAGGATTAGTTCTAAAGTCAGGTGCCCTGTTATCGTTGTCTCATGCTCTGACGGTGCAGGACCGAGTAATTGGCATTCTTGATTGGGAGCTATCCACGGTGGGAAATCAAATGTGTGATGTTGCTTATTTCTGTCTGGTATGTAGGGAATTTCCCTTTGTAACTTGTAACATTAGCATACTGTTAATTGTTGGATAATTTGTATTCATGTGTTCTCACAATTTGAGGCCGTATAACTTCCATTTCGTTTCAGCCTTACATCCTGGACTCGCACTCTGACCGTCCAAATACAGCCCAGGGTTTTAACAATATAGGAACTTCAGAAGGGATTCCTTCATTAGCAGAATGTTTGGCTTATTACTGTTCTATCACTGTAAGTGGCTATTGTCAGTATTATTCAATCAAGTAGTTGGGTTTTGCGGCAATCTTACAAATGTTTTTCCTTCCATGAGGGTATAACCAAAATTTGGTTCATACTTTTCCACCATGGGAATGATTGTTGTTATATTTCATCTTCCTCTTTTTCAAGGATTTAGGGCTTTACATTGGAAAAATAATGCAGCGACTTCACATATCCTAGCGAACTTTGACATCTAAAAACCTTCATTACATGCGGTTATGAGAAACCCTGCACCTGTAAGATTGAATATCCGATAGTAGAATCAACGAGCTAATCTATCCTGAGTAAGGGATATAAGGGATAACAGTATTTAGGGCAAGCTCGGGGATTAGGTAGTTACAAAAGAAAAGCCCTTCCTTATCAGTCTAAACCAAGACGTTCTATTTCTAATACTCAAATCAAAAGGTTAGTCTGATTTCTACATTCCTTACCACCGGGGATTCCCCTATCCTCACTGTAGGAACATACTGAGGCCATTCACTGTTCATTGCATGATCTGTGTCTGGTTTCTTATTGTATGATACAGATAAAAATTGACTTAAATTGAATTTAAGATATTTTTTTAGGTTGATATATAATTGGTCCATTGGAAATAAATGTTCACAGGCAATTGCATGTTCTAGCTGAGGTAACTGAAGGTTCAGTGTTTAAAATTTATGCAACTGGTTCTTGATGCACACTTGGGAATTTCCTTGTTGCAGGGAAGACCATGGCCATTTTCTACTTGGAAGTTTTATGTTGCCTTTTCCATTTTCCGAGGTGCTGCGATCTATGCTGGAATTTATAGTCGATGGATTATGGTATCGTCTTAGTCATTGAATAGGCAGCACGGACAAAAAACAATGAAATTTGAAGTATTCTTTTGAAAATGCAGGGAAATGCATCAGGAGGTGAGAGTGCTCGGATTGCTGGAGATAAAGCTAATGCTTTCATTGATGCTGCTTGGTCGTTTATTGAACAAAGATCATTACTTCCCGAGAATCCCCCATTTGGTAGTTCTATTGTCTTATAAAGCTTTTTGCTCCTAGTAGAACATAACCCTTTAGTAAGGTGCTATTTCCCTTTTACAACTTCAGATTCAATTGTACAAGTTGATTCACAATATACTGGGAAGGAGAATGAGGAATGGAGCGTCAAGAAACAAACGAACAATGGAGGAAAGTTTGTCCCCAATAAAAAAGTTATGCAGTTGAGAAACAAGTTGATTAAGTTCATGGAAGATCATATATACCCTATGGAAAATGAATTTTACAAACTTGCTCAGTCGCCCTTACGATGGACCATACACCCAGAGGAAGAGAAACTAAAGGAGATGGCTAAGAAAGAAGGCTTATGGAACTTGTGGATACCTGTTTGTATTTTGGCT